AGGGAAAGGTGGTCCCTCAGGTATGTCGGACCCTGACCATATATGACAAAGGTGTTCCATAATCTGGGCAACCACAAAGACGCCCCTGTTTTGTGTGATCACCTAGCAATAGTGCCACACAGCGTAGAAGACTTTGGTGTATGGTTAGAAGCCCAGAGTTGCCAACACCTTGTTGGGAAAATACCTGGCAATTTTGGGAATGGAGTCTGGGGAGGGAGTGGTTTGGGGCGGGCTCTCAGTGGGGCATAATGCCATAGAGTCCACCCTCCAAAGCAGCCATTTTCACCAGGGGAACTGACCTCTGTCACTTGGAGATCAGTTCTAATTCCAGGATATCTCCAGGCCCCACCTGGAGGCTGGCAACCCTAGGTGGGGCTGATGCTGGGAATAAGTGATCCTCTAGGCCTGGTTCCAAAACACCTGCAGTTATAGCTTTAAAAACCAACAACTTTAATTGGACTCAGAATTAAATTGAATGCTGGTGAAGTGAAAGAGCATCATCACTAGCTTTGAGAAAGCATCAGGCAGCATTTTGCATAGGGTTGCCAAGTGTATCTTCACCGGGAGAGGGGGGCTCCTGGCCAGCGTCTTGTGCGCGCACGTGCGAACAGCGCGAGCGCGCACGTCACCCGGAAGTGACGGGAGGACGCCAGGTACGCTGGGGGTGGGGCCACAGCCATACAAGGAAAAACCATAGAGTTTTCCCTTGTATGGCCGTGGCCCCGCCCCCAGCGTGCCCGCGTCACTTCCGGGTGACACGCACGTCGGGGTGGAGTTCCCCCCGGGGCCCGATCTGGCGCCGCCGGTGAACGGGCCTCTGGGACGGGGGTTTCCCCGCCCCCCGGGGGGACTTGGGATCCCTAATTTTGCACCAGCTGAAGTATCCAAGAACTTTTTGGAAGCAAGCCCACACACTCCCGGCTACAATATTTGAGTCTGGAATCAAGTCTGGCCAGGCCAAACACCCGGGAGGCTTGCAGTTCATACGTCAGCTGGATCGAAAGCCCTCCTGGCCACAGCCACCCTCTGGAAACCGACTGGCAAAGTCAGACTCCCC